CACTACAGTCTTACAAGACATACTAGAGTCTTACAAGACACACTACAGTCTTACAAGACACACTACAGTCTTACAAGACACACTACAGTCTTACAAGACACACTGCAGTCTTACAAGACATACTACAGTCTTACAAGACATACTACAGTCTTACAAGACAAACTACAGTCTTACAAGACACACTACAGTCTTACAAGACACACTACAGTTTTACAAGACATACTACTGTCTTACAAGACATACTACAGTCTTTCAAGACACACTACAGTCTTACAAGACACACTACAGTCTTACAAGATACACTACAGTCTACAAGACACACTACAGTCTTACAAGACACACTACACTCTTACAAGACACACTACAGTCTTACAAGACACACTACAGTCTTACAAAACACACTGCAGTCTTACAAGACACACTACAGTCTTGCAAGACACACTACAGTCTTACAAGACACACTACAGTCTTACAAGATACACTACAGTCTTACAAGACACACTTTAGTCTTACAAAGCACACTACAGTCTTACAAGGCATACTACAGTCTTACAAGACGTACTACAATCTTACAAGACACACTACAGTCTTACAAGACACACTACAGTCTTACAAGACATACTACAGTCTTACAAGACACACTACTGTTTTACAAGACACACTACAGTCTTACAAGACACGCTACAGTCTTTCAAGACACACTGTAGTTCAAGACACACTGTAGTCTTACAAGACACACTACAGTCTTACAAGACACACTACAGTCTTACAAGACACACTACAGTCTTACAAGACACACTACAGTCTTACTAGACACACTGCAGTCTTACAAGGCACACTGCAGTCTTACACGACACACTACAGTCTTACAAGACACACTACAGTCTTACAAGACACACTACAGTCTTACAAGACACACTACAGTCTTACAAGACACACTACTGTCTTACAAGACACACTACAGTCTTACAAGACACACTACAGTCTTACAAGACACACTACAGTCTTTCAAGACACACTGCAGTTCAAGACACACTGTAGTCTTACAAGACACACTACAGTCTTACAAGACACACTACAGTCTTACAAGACACACTACAGTCTTACAAGACACACTACAGTCTTACAAGACATACTACAGTCTTTCAAGACACTCTACAGTCTTACAAGACACACTACAGTCTTACAAGACACACTAGAGTCTTACAATACATACTACAGTCTTACAAGACACACTACAGTCTTACAAGACATACTAAAGTCTTACAAGACATACTACAGTCTTACAAAACACACTACAGTCTTGCAAGACACACTACAGTCTTACAAGACACACTACAGTCTTACAAGACGTACTACAGTCTTACAAGACATACTACAGTCTTACAAGACACACTACAGTCTTACAAGACACACTACAGTCTTTACACTACAGTCTTACAAGACACTCTACAGTCTTACAAGACATACTAGAGTCTTACAAGACACACTACAGTCTTACAAGACACACTACAGTCTTACAAGACACACTACAGTCTTACAAGACACACTATAGTCTTACAAGACATACTACAGTCTTAAAAGACATACTACAGTCTTACAAGACAAACTACAGTCTTACAAGACACACTACAGTCTTACAAGACACACAACAGTTTTACAAGACATACTACAGTCTTACAAGACATACTACAGTCTTTCAAGACACACTACAGTCTTACAAGACACACTAAAGTCTTTCAAGACACACTGTAATCTTACAAGACACACTACAGTCTTACAAGACACACTACAGTCTTACAAGACACACTACAGTCTTTCAAGACACAC